CTGGTGACCGGCCGCCACCTGGCCAGTATTGTCTATTAACAATGCACTGTATCATAGTCCCACAGAATAACTGTGTTTTAAGAACCTCTGGAGCTCATCTGATCCAACCCATGGTCCAGAGCAGAGTTCAATTGAATGGCACCTTCTAGAAGCAGAAAATCAGACTGAATTACTGTGTACCTAGAATCATGAACAGATACAAGAAGCAAGCTCCCAACATCTGCCCAAAGCTAATTTCCAGGTGGGGAAAAAAGAATAACCAGTGCTGGCTAGTGTGGAGGTAGGCTTCTCTTAAGACTCCACATATTGAAGCTTTACATGCCACGCTATATATTGCAAGACTTGGCAACATGGAAGAGTTGACACCTTTATCAATTAAATGAACTTTCTGATGATGCTTCTGCTATAAGACACCAGACTTGTAACAGTAAGTTAAGCCAAGTGCAAGAAGCCAGCAAGCAAATAGCTTAGCAAGAACTTAACAAGGCTCCTCTGCAGCAGCCCCGGAGAGGTCTAGGCAGCATTTTCCATGAAGAAGCATAACATTGCTCTCTTGTTTCACATTAAATAGAATGATTTAAAACTGATTCAGTGATAGCACATTGGCAGTAACACATTTGCATGACTATGATAATTCCAAAACCACCAGAAGATTATTAGACTTTTAATTGCTATCTAGTCAAGAGTTGCAATTAAGTACCTACAACAAAAAAGGGCATTACCTTTTAAGACCTACACAAATCAAGAAGATTTACATAAAAATAGTTAAATCTTACTCTTTTGTTTGTATGATTTATGCATAACTGAACTACAGGGTGGTTTTATGGAATATAATGATAAAAAAACTGGCATGAGCTTAAGTGACTTGGAAGATGTCTGTATAACAGCTTCTAGAATCCACAAGATCATCTAATTTGCATAAATACTATCAAAGAGCAAGTCTTGAATATTTGAATGAAAAGAGAAGAGGATTTAACAAGACCCAAACCAGAAAATACAGATAATTCAGTATTTCCTTCAGGAAATTTCCTCAAATCCCCAACTACATTTTCTCCTTACTTAAAACACAGTATTCTCACTACCTGTATTTTGCTATGCTTAACATACATCAGTGGGAAGAGAACTGTGCTGAGAATGAGATGGTATACCTGTCTTTCTAACACATATGATTTGATATATTTGTAAAAACACTGGAATTTATTTCATTAGTTTATAGCAATGCTTGAAATATTTTTGTGGGAAAGACTATTTATCAGGATTTTGACTGAAATCTTCCCAAGGCTTTTTAGGGGAGGAGGAAAGGAAGGGCTAAGAAATATATATAGTTTGGGGTAAAACCTCAATTTTATTTTATCATTAAGTCCTCCAAATTTTAGTAGAACTTCTTGAAATAAATCTTTGGTATTTTCAGCAGATTTTAGTTACTTTATTCTTAACCATCTTCTAGTTACTGAAGATGATACAAGATTCCTTTCGAATAGTTACATTAACAAAATATAATTTCCCGTCCTGCCCCAAATACACAATAATTAGGTTGCAAATAAATTTTTCTAGGTCATGTTTTCTTGCATGTCGGAAGAGGTAGATTTCTTTTGGAGTGTGCTTTTTTTTTCTTAATGAACATCCCTTAAATATTGCCACAGCATCCCTGCCTCAATCTTAGATGCCTTTTTTTGCAGCAGCCTACTGCTTAGTCCATCAAAATCTATGTTTCACATACACCTACATAGCTAAAACTTTTCATTACTTCTTTCATACAATGAAATCTGGTTACCTGAAGACGTTACTTTCATCATGGAAAAAAATGTCAAAGTGAGAAAGGCTTGTCATCGTATGTCTGCTTGAGCCACCAAAATAATTTACTTTAATCTTGTACTCATCTCATACCTATAAGATGTATGCAATTCTTCATTGCATGGAAGCATAATTAAGCTTTGTTTACTAAGGTATATAAGGACTAAATACAGTATATTTTTCTGATCACTGGTCAAAACAAAAGCTTGTGGCAGAGACTGAGCTTGAAGGGTAGCAGCAAACCCAAGCAGAAGAACTTTCTGTACAGGAAACCCTGTGATCCACGTTATGTTCAGTGTGAGCACCAGCTGGAGGCAGGGATTCTGTGCTAAGCTTATGCTGGCATTTAATAGCCATTAAATAATGCTTCCCCGTCTTCCTTCAAACTAATATTTAGGAGACCCTTCTGTAAATACTGGCTATTGTTTCAAATATGTTGTATTTTAGGAGGACTGGGCAGAAGAAACCTTTCTGAAAATAACAGACAATTGTCAATGTGAAGTAGTCATACTTAACAAGAGCAAGAAAAATCAAGTCATATTACTTTGGCACAGAATGAGCTCCACAGTACGTTGAAGAAATGCCAATATCCATGGATTGCTTAGCACGTTCGATCACCTTGAGCATTTTAAGCTCTGTTTCTAAGTTTAAGCCATATCCACTCTTGCACTCAACCAACGTAGATCCTGCTCTGCGCATGCGTTCGAGTCGGTCTTTGAAAGAATTGAACAGCTCTTCTTCTGTGGCCTTCCGAGTGTGTTCCACAGTAAAATGTATTCCTCCCCCAGCCTGGTGGATCTCCATATAGGATGCACCTGCCAGCTTGGGGAAAAAAAGAAAACAAAAACCAGCCCCCCTGAACAATCAGCTGGTAAATGTGCATTTTCAATCCAAGGGATTCCAGAAAGTGCCTTGAGGTTTCTTTGCAGTGAGAGAGAAAAACAGGGGGGGTAAAAAGCCACATTAATTCTTCCTCCCTCCCCCTCCTCTTTCCATTCACTTCCCATCAAGTGAATAAATGATGTAAGAAGTGAAACAGAATTACTCTGAAGATTTGCTTGCCCCTGAGCCCAAGGGGAAAACCTACCTCTATCTCAAAAATTAATTTATGTGGAAAAAAAAAGAAAAAAAACTTCAAGATTTAGATGGTAATAGAAGTCAGCACTCCTGTATTGCTTCAATTAATGCAAAAATACATCAAGGCTGGCTGCAAAGGCTGCAGTCACACTCCTCTCTCAGCCTACCAGTATTCAAAAATCAGCCCTCCTCCCTCAGTTAGATTATCTGGCAGAAATTATATATTTTTCTTCAAACGAAAGATGAGAGTCACTAGAAAATGGAAATAGTCAAGCATAAAAAAAAAAAAAAGGAGGAAGAAAAAATCCAGCTGTGTAATTTTATCCCATTACCTTCATTGCAAACTCATGAACCCTGTCACCGGCCCACACCGGGTGTGTATGTGCATCTACCAGGCCTAAAGAAAACAAAGCAAATGTACACTCAGGTTATCTCACTGTGTAAGAAAAAAGCTTATGAACATGCAAGCAAATTAAATAGACAGCAGAAGCTCCCCTATAAAGCCTCTACTGGTTAGAGAAAAAGAACAATCCAACCAGTCAAAAATCTAGGATTTTCTTCAAAGGCTATTAATTTTCTTTCAAATATTTTAGGTGTACTGGCTGACACCTCATGCAAAATGTCTCTAGGTAAATGCATCAGTTGCTCAGTTTCTCATGTGGTTTTGATCATGTTTTCAAACTGTGGAAGAAGTGACAAATCACAAACTTTGAAATAGTTAATTAAACTTTAATTCTGTGTTCCTTAAGAAAAAGCCAAGTGCTTAGGCTGGGATTAGCACACTAGCACTTACTCTAGCAACAGTCCACTTACACCAGCAGGAACTTTTTCTACAAGCTCAGAAACCAACACTACTGAATGCCCAAGGCCATTGCAAACAAAACAGAGGGCTAACAGCAAAGTTTAAAATGCAATAGATCTGCCCAGGTTTATTTTTTTATCAGGTAAAGATGCAGATTACGTGACTTAAAATCCCGCACTGCCCTTTTGCCTCCAACTGGCTGTGGGCAGGATGGAGAGACTGAGCTCTGTGGCTGAACAGATGATGGGTGGAAATGGCACAGAAAATAGAGGTGAATCTGAAAAGCAACTTGGCGGGCCACCTATATTACTGTTGTGATCTCTGATATAGAGTAACAGATGTAAGACAAACCAAGAGGACACAGAGCTCCACTATGAAGCCCAAAAACCAATCCCAAGTGCTGCAATTTTCTCCTTGCAGCACTCCTGATGAGGAAGCTACAATCCTCTGCTCCTCAACACAAGACATTATCAAAACCACTACTGAATACAGAGGAAAAGGGGTGGAGGGATGTTTAACACACATTTATTTTGTCTCTAAGCACTTGCCGCCATTTCATTACGAAAAATACACCTACCTGGTAGCACACACTTCCCAGAGCAGTTGATTATTCTTTCAAATGTTGCTCCTGAAAACTGATTGTGAATAACATCTGCCTGGCCCACAGCTTTGATACAACCATCTCTGCAAAAAAAACAGACAACAAAAAAAGGAAGCGTGAGCCTGTTTAAAAGTCAAATGCTTATTGACTGAGCTCCTGGAGCAACAACTCTCTGATAGCAGCAGCCGGGACCTTCAGCCGGACTGAAGATGCAGACAGGGGGTGGCTTGCTAATCTTACAGATGCACAGAAAACTATGGTGTAATGCTGTGCATTTCCAGTTGTCTGCTGTAACACTTGTCTTGCCCTCTGCTTTGATCCCTCAGGATGATACCTTTGTACTCTTTTGTTCTAATTTCTGCTAGACAACATTATTTTTCTCTTGTGGATTGGGAAATATACTGCATTCTTCCAGCAACTTATCTGCAGGGCATTCTTCTCCAAACAGAAATCAAACTGTCATCCCCAAACTCCACTGCCTGGACCTGAATCATACCCTTGTGCCCTTGGAAGCCACAGGTATAAATCTCTTTGGGGCTGATTTTGGTTCAACAGCAATTTTCTCCTGGTGAAACTTGAGGATGGTACTGGGAACCCCACGCTGCACTAGTGGGATCCTCTCCAACAATGCATGGAGCTCCACCTCACCTACACGAGAGGACCTTCCTGGGGTGCATGAAGCACCTCTGTCCCTTAAGCTTTGTCTTTCTCCAGCAACTCTCAAGCCACTGGAATAGTCACCAGGAGTCCTCATGGGTACCTCACTGAAGGTGTGTCTACGCTACACGGCAGAATTTTAAAGAGGTAAATAGCCGTTAGAGCATTTAGAAATGGGAGAGGTGTAATTATATAAGTTAATTATTAATTATAATTATAACTCCATTAATTACACAAATTATTTATATGACTTAGTTCACATCAGTTCATCTAGAAACCA